CAGGAGTACTTGGAAATCCTAATTAAATAATTAAAAAGTTTTTTTTTTAAAGTCTGTGTCCTGAATATTTATCACTCATAAAACCTTATAGAAGGAAGTTACTAGAATAATTAATGTGATTCAAAAAATAAACTTTATAATCGACCATTAAGACAAGAGCTACAGTTTGAAAGATTTTAAGGTTATCTTCTCATTTTTTTTTTTTTTTTTCCAGATAATGTATTATAAAAATGTAAAATAATACAATAAAAGTATGAATGGTGTTAAAACTGGGCACCATAATCCACCAATTTTTTTTTTTTTTTTTGTAATTCAAACAAAAAATACTCAAATGAGAATTGATTAGATTTATTATAAACATTGATAATGAGCATCAAATAAGTCTCTAAATAGTTTGTACTCAAACAATTTTATTAACTTAACACCCTATTATGGGAGCTAAAAAGGAATTCTCAACCAATATTTGTAATAACTTCTAATCTTTTTTTCAAAGCATAACTTATAGGTTTAAGTAAACAAATAAATTATTTTCAAATTTTGGAAGAAGCCGCCGTAAGTCTGTATACGGTCCAAGGCACTTTATGAAGACTACCATAATTTCATTCACTTATCAAAAATCCACATGATAGCTAATATTTTGGAACAAACACCTGTATCTTTAGAAACACCGTTTTCTTGTCAACATATGAGCAAAGAAAATTTAAACATTTTCTTGTAATTGAAATATTGTTATTTTTTCATTAAAATATAGATCTTGACTGTCAGCACACATGTGTATCTTTATAACTCGACTAGTCCATTAACAAAGACACTATGAGTGATAACAGTCAAGATATTCATGTATTTTAATGAACAAATGAGGAGTTATAGTTCAGTGACGATCTTTCATTTACACTGACAAGACAACGGAGTGGTTTTGTAGATGGAGACGATTGCTCAAAAATGTTTGCCATTATATGGATTTTAATACAAAATAATGATTGAATGGCAGACTCAATTTGTAATTATGACTTATGTTTATTTCTCTTATGATTTTTTTAAGGAGATAAAGTCGCTGAAATTATAACATCAGTTTCACAATTGATATTTTGCAGTTATATATCTGGCATTAGAAAATTGTAAGTATTAAAAGCGAAAAAACATTTTTATTATTATTAGAAGAAAAGCAAAAAAAAAAAAACCACTTTTATATTAACCAAATTAAAGTTGTCCTAGACCAGGAGTCCTCAACCTTTTCCATCTGGAGGCATAGATATAGGTTATTAATCAAGGATGTGGGGGTGACACTGTGTTTTTTATTTTAGTTTTACATTCCTAAATATTGTTAATGAAAAAAAAATTAAATATAAAAAGTATTGTTAATATTTGTAAGTTAAATGAATAACTATTCATCAAGAGGGAAGCAATATGTCTTTATAAGAAATATGCATGCGGAAGGCAATTCGATTTTTAGCACTGAATTTGATTGGTGCTTTGTGATTTGAAAATATGACAATAATCTTATCTATACTTATATTTTGAGACTGCATTAAATAACTAATTCAAAACCATAAAATAAGTCACAGGGATATGGATTTAAACTAGTTACAAGATTAAAAAATAAAAACAAATGATAAACATTGGCAGAAAAATATAGTCGAATTGCTATATCAATAAATTAATATTTTTAAAGAAATACAATATTTCAAATTAATTATTTAATATTTAATTAATGACTAGTTAAACAGCAACAGGTCAAAGAAACTGCCATAGTGAAAACTGATACAGGTTATGTCAAACGGGCATGCATGATGATGTCTCTCATCGTCTGAATTGTATCCACAGGTAAAGGGTTGAGGATCCCTTGTGCTAGAGGGACATTCCGCACAAGACTGATAAATTGCAGGTACTGTTAATTTTGAAACTCACAAACTTTGAATAACATAACAATTCTATGTAAATAATAATAATACACTGAATAAATAATTGACTGACTTACTAAATAATAAAACAAAGTGAAGTGCCAATATATAAGATAATAAACAACCTTGACTAGTTCAGACTGTTCAATAACTATTATCTCAAGAAGTTAGACTCATCATAATACTGACGCTCACAGACTAGAAACCTAAAGCACTGCAAGAAATATTTGAAGCTTTGCATTGCCTGGTTAGTTACAGGAAGTCTGTTCCCCAAGAATGGTGGCTTTCTGGCAGCAATCCAAAATCAAGTCGTAGCTAGGACGACTTATTGGCTATACCTCCTCAAGCAACGTACAGACTCTGTGCCAGGATATTGAAATCTAATCAGCACATAACTGGAGGTGGAGGAGTGCTTGCTATTATTAGGTTATTTTAAAAGACATGATCGTACAGCCAAACTTTATTACCACCTGATTGGTTAGAAGGGAAAATATAAAATTAAAAAAAATGGGAAGCAACGCAACACCCAATAGATAAGATCTCAACAAGATACCAAGGATTAAACTTTTTTAACAGACCATACCATAGTTGCAAATAAATTTGATATCCTCTTAATTGGTGAAAACAGCTGAGAATAGGTATTGCTGTGCCACACGACAGGGATAGCAGTAATGATTCAGTTAGTGCAAATAAATTGGGAAGTATCAATCAACTCTAGCAGCTGAGTTAAAGATACAATTTTGATAATATAACTGTTAGGGCTAAGAAGATCTGAAGCAATGGTCTCATCGCAGCGTCCACTATGGAATCTAACAAACTTCACCTCTCAACATCATAGGAATTGTAAGACAGTTCTTTAACATCTTCAACAGAATCATAAAAAACTGACCAGAAGTGGTTTAACTTCATTCTCCTCTACAGGGAAAAAAAAAGTTTATTAAAGAGTTCACAAATAAAATACTATATAAATTAATAATAAAATTTAAAATTTTATTCTTCAAAACTATTTAAACATACTTCTTTACACTAAAAAGGAAAAAAAAAAAAAGGCAACACAATGGTAAACAATTTGGTACTTTCATGGAAAAAATATTCTGTAAATTTGTGCTGACATGGAGTTTAAGGGATGAAAAGAATATTTATAAGGAGGTTGCATTTTTTTTAAATTATAATAAAAAATGTTAATAGTTTGCTAAAATGTTGAATTAATAGTGCACAAGGGAAATGTGATGGAGACTGGATGAGGAACCGGAAACAACCATAAGATAACGCATGGTACTGCCAAATAATGATGCTATCATTATGTTGATAAAGATCAACCATCTCTACATTATAAAAATAAATTCTTAAAATTCACACTGCCTAGTTCATAATTGAAGAGTTGAATTGATTAATTTATTTTTTTTTTAACAATAAATAAAAAAACATTAGTAATGGAAATATATTACCTTTAAAATTGAACTTTGTTTACAACTATTCTATATCATAGTTATCAGACAATAGCTAATGCTAACTTAATGAATTTAGTTGTAAAAAAAAATGTCATAACCAGCATGAAGAACTGTTCTTTTTTTTTGGGGGGGGGAGGGGAGACATATGAATAGTCAAGGATATTATCTAAATGGTTATGTGTTAAATTAGAAAAATCTTCCTACGGTAAAGTTATGGCACTTTATAATGAATCGTTAATAATGATAAGCTATTACACCTGTAAAATTTTAACAATCTTTATCAAATTTATGATTTTCAAATTAGCAAGAATGATTTATCAGTGAAATGATCCTTTAATTAAGAGATATTTATTGAAAATGACAAAAATACGGAAGTTAATATGACCAGTGTTTTTAATTTGGTATTATTTTTAATTGAGATCAGCAAAAAAAAAAAAAATCGAATGTGGGATTTAGTAACAAGTTTTAATTAATAACATAAATTACTACTACATTACATTATTCATAAAAAGCAATTTTTTTTCTACACATAAGTAGACATACTACTTTTAATTAAAATTACTTACAACTGTAAAATTATATAAATATGGTCAAAACAGTTATGAAATAAATAAGTGAATAAATCCACAAAGAATTTCCAATGATATAGGGGTACAGTCATGGAATCCCTTAAAGAAGAGGGTAGGAACACTACTGTAAGGGATGCTCAAAACTGTAAATACAAAAATACATTGGAATAATGTAGCAATTGATTCACTTATTTACTGTGTAATATTAACCATTATTATGTACTCATTTTAGTTGGGCCTTTAGATCTCACATTTTTTTTTCTTTCAATTTATAACAATTAACAGCCTAAAATCAGCTAACTGATGTTCAGCCATTTTCAAGAATATTATAGTACTTAAAAAAATTGCTTTTCATCCTGTAGGGAGACACATTGGGTATGCTTGTCTACTTAATTTTATTAATTTCTTATTTACTTAATTTTATTAATTTTTATAAAGCATATAATTATTTTAAAAAATAATTTTTAAGTTTTAAATGTTCATCATTGTCACCTAAAGCGATTAAAAAAAATTTGTTTTGTCGCCTCTATAGCAAGACATTAAATCATTAAAATAATACATATTTTATAAAATAAAAACTAAGAACTAAGGCAGTATGAATTTCTTTAACTAACATATAACATCCAAAATACTTATTGATAATATACATTTTATATGGTTTATAAAACAAACTACCAACCCATGAGAGGGTCTCCTTGGGTTCCGTCCATAGTAAGGACTGTTTCTAGACCAATAGTTGTTCAAGGGAAATGACTTGGTCAAGATCACACTCGACCACCAGATTTTATTCCAATTAATTAATGTGAGAGGGCCTACAGATCTCCTGGTGCGGTTAATGACTGATTAAATAATTACCTACCATACATACCCATACTCGAAGCCAGGCTCAGGAGGTAGCAGCACAGTATCTTAATCAATGACGTACCCACACCACTTCCAAAAACCTAATAATATATGTTCACACACACATACACAAACATATATTCATAAATATATAATAAACATACAAAGGTGAGTGTGTATTGTGTATTTTATATATATATATATATATATATATATATATATATATATATATATATATATATACATATACACTAACTTTTTAAAGTAAATTTTAAATAAGTTCAGTTATAATGTTAAAAAGTTATAACTTTCTTAAATGAATTTTATGATTCTCAGTATGAAAAAGCAATACATGAAATGATCATTTTATTAAGAAAATGATGTTATAGAAAATAATAGCATTACCGAGGTGAAAGGAAAAATTTAACTTTTCATGAAAGATCATTTTTATGAAAAATTTAGTTATTCAAAATAAAATTTATAAAAAATTAATACTTACAAATTTTATATAAGGCAGGGCTAGATGCAACAGATGACAAATGACTGAATACTGAAAAACAAACCCTTAATTTTTTGGCTTTTATTATTATTTTTGAATATAATGAAATTAAATACTCCAATAAAGTTTGAGTTTATTTACCTTTTTTAATACTTACCTCTATTGTCCCTGATCGAAGAGCACTTATGAAGTAACCTCTTCAGACACAAAATCACTTTTTCATTTCTTCTTTTATATAATTTATCACTCGATATCCTATTACCCTATCTCCTCTACTACACGATTTGTTTTGAAATGTTGTTCTGTTGTTATGTATTAGAGAGTGTTAAATGTTTAAAATGTGACGTAATTATATATATATATATATATATATATATATATATATATATATATATATATAAAATTAAACATATTTATCTTGGGAAATGATATTAGATCTAATTCGTTTAAATACATCAAAATATTTCTTTCCAATTATTATAATTAATTTATAAAAGTTTTAAAAGATGAAATTTTATTCATGTTTGATTAAATCCCAAGATGTAATATATTTTAAATAACTGAGATATATCCGTCTGCGCTGCGAATTATTAATATTTATCACATAGTTGAATTGAAGTCACTTTACTTACTTCAGGAAAATAGACAATAAAATAAAATTTAAAAGCAGGACAAGGATGCTGCAAGCAGGATGTAAGACAGAAGATAGTACAGAAATAATACATCAAGATAAGAAGAGATAGATGGTAAATTAGCCATGCAAATAGCTTAAAGGTATGAAGGGCTGAGGTTAGCTACTGCACCAAGAAGGCTGGGCTCGGAAACCTTACCTATCTTGGTAACTGGGGGGTAAGGGGCAGGAGGTGGAACCAACTATTATATTCGGCAATAAGGAGGGTCCACCCCCTAGTATATGGCTTTAGCATGCCTATGCTTAAGCCTTACCTTGTGATGAGTTGAGGGTATTGTTTCCAGATATTTCTTGTGCACCCATGAAACTGTCATTTGTCATCTCCCAACTAGCGAAATCTGTAACATTAAAGAAAAAAAATTATAGACAAAATCAGATCATGTTGTCCACCAATCTTGGTAATTGAAATTTTCAAAATTTTGTCAAGTTTTTCAATTCACAAAAAAATTTCCACAACTGAGAAAAAAATACACGAAAACCTTTAGTATTTATCAACTGTCCACAATAATTGGTTTTCAGCAGCTAAATATATCTTAATTTGTTTTTATCATGAAATAAAAATCTTTTTTTTAACGAAATCTGCAATGTGATCATTTTCTCAAATCACTCAATAATAAGTTGCCTCAGCTCGGAGAATATGTTCATAGCTGTTTTAGCCCTGAAAGAGAAAGGGCTCAAAAATCGACTTCATCGCAGGCGAAGGTTTGGTTGTAAATTACGAAAGTGTTTGTTATTCTGAGTAAAATGAACTTTGTTTGCCGTTCCAGAGCCGGTGCTTTCAAAAATGGCGGCTCATTGAAAGAATATTAGGCCAGTAATTTGAGGATCGAAATGGAAAATCCATTGCGAAAAATGTGAGAAAAGTTTTTATTTTTTAACTTGTTATGTATGGGTTCAGCCATGTAAAAAACAAAATTCCTAACGCTGACAACCAAGGGAAACTTCTTATAGGGGAACTTTTTATAGGCAAAAAGTCATATTTTTTCAGCTATAACTCCTTAACGATGAATCAACAGCGGAAAATTTATTCTTTAATAAATTAAAGAGTATTAAATAGTGTGCCTAACAAGCAGATAAACTTTATAATTTTATATTTTACGCGAGATATAAAAGCACGGTCAACCAACGCTAATTTTTACCAAATTTGTCAAAAACAGAGACAAATTACTGTAAATGGCCTTGTAACTTGGAAATGAGTCCCCTAAGAGGAAATTACCATAGAATCAAAGTTGTAGAGGATCAAATTTCGCGTCCACAGAGTAGTGACATTTTTATTGTAGCCAATTATATATCTAGATTCGAGGTTCATTATTTCTTTATGAAATTCGGTATCTTTTATCACTTCGTTTATCAAAATCCTTCGCTGCTAAGAGGAGCAAAAGAGGTTTATACTGCATTTAACAGACTCTAAACAAAAATAACTCAGTAAAATAGACACCTGTCTATATAGTCCTGTTGAAATATTCAAAATCACGTTTACCTTCATTATCAATTTCTAACCATCGGGAGGTTACTGATTTTGTTCGGACTAAGTGACCTACATTAAATTAATTGGTACTCACTAGATGCAAAATTTGATGTTCTACAATTTTGATTCTATAGGTTTTTCGTCTTAAGGAATTTGTTTCGAAGTTTCAGAGCCATAAATAATAATTTGTCATTGTAGCCTTATATAGACAAATTTGGTAAAAATCAGCATTGGTTGACCATGGTTTTATACTTTACCACGTAACAAAGTTATAAAGTTTATGTATTCGTTCGATGCAAAATTTAACGTTCTTTAATTTATTAAGAAATAAATTTTTCGCTAAGAAGCATCGTTTTGGAGTAATAGGTGAAAAAACAAATAAATGTTGAAAAAATCTGACATTTTTGGCTATGAAAAGTTTGCCCTTGATTGTCAGTGTTAGTAATTTTGTTTTTTACACGTCTAAACCCATACATACAAGTTGAAAAAATAAAAAGTTTTCTCACGTTTTTCAAATTTGGTTTAATTTCTGCCTGTAGTCAAACTGATATGACATATCTACTAATGTTTATCCGATTTTCATACAATTTTCAGAGGCCGTGCAGGTTGGTACCTAGATGATTTCATATCAATTTCATAAAATTACATCCAATACTTTAACTTACACATCCTTATTTGTGACCCAGCAGAAAGTGTAAAAAAAAAAAAAGAAAAGAAAAAGTACTATTTAGGGAAGTAGTGTTTCAAGGCTAAAAGTTGTGCAGAGAGGGGATCGGGCCAGAATCAAGCTTAACTGCCAGGTTTTTTCCCTTAATTAATTATTAATTAAGGGTACCCACTTTGTGAAGGCTATGTGTGCCCCCCAGGAAGGTCGACCTACCCCAGGAAGGGTCGCTCCACGGCCAATTAAACAGAATAAACAATTTTTCTACCATGGGCCAGGATTTGATTTTGCCCTACCACTGAGCTACCCCGCTCCCTAAGAGGAAGTCAATAAGGAGTTGAAAAGGCTGAGGAATCTGGACAGGGAGGAGTAGGTGCAGAGAGAGTTGTTGAAGTATGGTGGAGTTGTGGCAGATATGGGCAAATACTGCTCTGAGTACTGAGTACTAAGTATTTTACTCAAATATTGACCTTTTTTGAGTACCAAAGAACTTCATTTGAAGTCAAATGATTAATTGAAGTAATGATTGAATTCTCAGTAGTGATTCAATTTGAGTAAAATAATTGGTAATCGGTACTCAGAGTAGCATTTGCCTATCTCTGAGTTGAGGTGACTAAAATGTTCACAAACCTTATTAATAAAAAAAAGGTGGAAATATACCTCTAAAAAATGAAGTTGGGGTAATTGAAACCAATGTTTAAAAATGCTGATAGAAAAAAAATGTGAAAATTACAGAGGCATCTGTATGACAAGCAAATTCATGAAACTGCCATTAACAATGGTAAAAGCACAACTGGAAAAACAGTGTATTCAGCGATGTGGATTTATATCTCATAGGCCCTGCATTGCACATATTTTTATTCTGAAACAGCTATTAGAAAAACAAACAGACAAATCAAAAAGACTAGATTTAATTTTCATTGATTTGGAAAAGGCATGTAAGAGTATGCCACACAAGTTCCTCTGAGAATCCTTAAGGAAGGCTGGAATTGACTGACCAAGGAATAATAGGTGCCAGATAAAAATAGGCCCATGATTATCTAGGAAATTACAAAACGGAAAAGAGTTGCTACAAAGATACTGCATGTCCTCCACTCTATTTAAAATATATCTTGACAAATGCCTAAAAAAATGGATGAAGAAACGTCGGGAAATGGACATTGAGTTAAGAGGAAAAGATCTATGCCACTTATTATTTGCTGATGGCCAAGTATTAAGTGAGAGGATATGAAGAGGGTTAAGCTACGTATTTGTTAAAATAATAAATCACAATGAACAAGAAGTGAACATTGATCCAACATTATGCGAACTAAATAAACTACAAAAATTTTGTTATTTGGGATCCCCATAATTGAAAGTAATGGTTAAACAGAAGCAGAAATCAAAAAAGAACCACAAATAGTAAAAAAACAGAGGAAATGCTCAATCCATACTCGGCCTATACTCAGAAATAGTAATATTTCATAAAAACTACAATGCTTAGGTAGAAATATTATATGGTTTAGAGACATGGTTCCTCAGTATGGCCCAGAGAAAAAAATTCCTTTCAGTTGAAATGGATTTGGAAAGAGAGTAGCTAGGATATCCAGGACCATAAGGATAAGAAACATCACTATAAGGGAGAGAATGGAAGTAAAGCTAACCTTTGAGGTGATAGAAGAAAGGAGACTTTGATGATATGAATAGGTGACGATAGAATATTTAAGATCATAATGGATTATGAGAGAGAAGATAGGAGAGGAAGACACTCAACCCCCAGTTAGATAGAAGAATATAGTGGTGGAGAATATGGCTGGAGGAGAATATGTTATGGACCAGCAGAGATGGAGGGAACTGCAAAGGTAGCAGTTTGGTTAAGGAAAGCTTCGTAATAAAGAAACTCTAAAGGAAAAAAAAAATTTAATTAATTTTCACTCAGAGATCGTAAAAAAATAATGACTCATTTAAGATAGTGATTGTTACTTTTAAAGTTTAACAAGTTCATTAAGGTCTAGATTTCTCTCTAAAACTTCGAAGTACTAAGGGATCGATTTTATTCAAGGATTTCAAGTTGAATCGTGAAAAAAAATCATTAGAATTGGGTTAAACTGAAGCTATGTATAAAAAAAATAGGCTTTTTAAAAATTAAAGATGCCAATCTTTGATATGAGGCCACTCATATGCATGTCATCAATATATGCATTACTACTGAACTGGGAATTAATAGTTTATGCTTGTGAATTTGTTTGTTAGAATAGTAAAAATTCAGATATCAAACCTGCAAATATTGAGGAATTACATTCATTTATATCAGAATCGGCTTCTCCCAAAGATTTGATGATCAAATGAAAAATTATAGACATTGAAATAAAGGTAATAAAAGGTGTAGGCAATAAAACTAGTGAGGAAAAGCTGTGACCTTACCTGGACCTGGCAGGGGTATTTTTATGGTGGTGCTAAGATAACTTTTCCTTTAACTTTTATAAATAAGATAAATCTTGAAACATTAACAAATGATAAATGGACATAGGAAAAAAAATTTTTGCTGGCCATAGAAACATAGGTCCCTAGTACATTAATACTTATAGGATATCTAAAATTTTAATGGCACAATTACAAGACTTCCGTCAAGGATAACTGTTTTGTTTTAATGATTTCATTTATAAAACAAAACAGATTGACAGTTTCAAATCAACTTAGCTTTAACAAGAAAAAGTTAGAAACAACTCAAAAATTAGAAAAAAAGTTTCGGTGTGAGTTAGTACTGCTATAAAAATCTGGTGTGTCCACTCACACGACTTTCCTACCTATTTCAAAAAGTTTTTATATCTTTACATATGTTCATTCATGAAGAAAGAAAAAAGAATTGAACTAGATTTGTTTTCATGAAAATTGATCAAAGAAAAGATTTGAGTGCGATTTATTCGATAAACTAAAGCAATGTAAACCGGCTTAAGGTAGATCAGTGTAAAAATTTCAATCCTCACTAATATTGCTGATCGAAAACTTTTTGCCATAGCTTAGTATTGTCAAACAATAATTTTTGTTCAAAGTAGAGGAAATAGTGAAGATTGTGTGATGCCGGAAACAGATTTTCTTACTTTCACTTAGTCAACTTTATTCTCTCATTCACTCCTTTCTGACACCAGTATATGAATACGTAATGTTACATTGGAAATTGAATAGTTGTAACTTCGTTAATAGTTGTTCAAAATAAACGATTTTGATATGGCTTTGTAGGGAATTTGATTTCAGGGACTCAGAGGGCTCTGAAACGTATAGATCCGTCGAAAATTTGACCTGATTACAATACTTTCCATACCTATTATAGGTAGTATAGTCCCTACCTAATATAGGTAGAAAGTTCCATCAAAATCGTTAGGGCCATTTTCGCGCTATAGTCTATAGAAAAATATGTTTTTCATTTATTGCGCGAAAGCTACTGCACCAGTTTCTGTCACAGGCATCAGTAGTCAAAACCCTACAAAATAAAAAAAGAAGTAACAAAATCGGTTTAGTAGTTCCCGGGAAAATCTTGGCACAGACAGATAAGACAGACCAATGGCTAAAAATGTGTTTTTCAGACTCAGGAGGCTCTGAAACGTATAGATCCGTTGAAAACCACATGTCGGAAATTTGACCCGATTGCAATACTTTCCTTACCTAGAATAGGTAGGAAAGTAAAAAAAATGAAAAGATGTACTGTGTTTAAGCTGTTACAGAAATAGGTTTTTTTTAAATTATTTTTTAAAAAATTATTTTTTTTCTTTTGAGAGTTGTTTTTGTGTACTATTTTGATGTCAATCATAATTTATATTGAAAAGTTATAATTTCACCAATTTTCTTAGATTTTTCATAGATCTAAAAGTTTTTAATAAATAGTACATAGTTTTTTAAGTCAACACTCCTAAATCATTAAATAGTATCCTATAAATTAAAAAAAAAAAATACTCCTAAATCATTAAATAGTATCCTATAAATTAAAAAAAAAAAATACTCCTAAATCATTAAATAGTATCCTATAAATTAAAAAAATGTGTTTAGGGAACACATCAAACTTCATATTTGAATTAAATCAAGTAAGCACAACACAGCTGTTATACTGCATATATATCTCAGTTGTTATTGTGACGCCGCCATTGTTGAAGCGTAGACGCTCACGTAGCGTGAGAGATTGACAAGACTGGCCAGTTAGAAAATTCTTTATTCCACTGATTTGATGAAAATGGAGTAAAAACCTACAGCGGCCGGCAAGGGGCCAAGAAAGGAAGAGAGGGAAGATGAACAAGAAGACTGGCAACTAGGAGAAAAGAGAAAATGCAAGTATCCCAACCCACCTATATTTAACCTCCATATAAAACTAAATGTAATAAAATAAAGCAATCAATTTTACATATTCACTTCTTTAATCCATTAACTTCTCTAATTTTACAGTCCACAGCAATAAATTATCACCAGCTCTTAAAGCAGAATTATTGGCATAGTAAAATAAACAACACTCCTAAATCATTAAATAGTATCCTATAAATTAAAAAAAAAAAAATACTCCTAAATCATTAAATAGTATCCTATAAATTAAAAAAAAAAAAAATACTCCTAAATCATTAAATAATATCCTATAAATTTAAAAAAAAAAAAAACAATAAAAGATTACCTTTAATATCTGGTGGAGGATGAGGAGGTTGAACAGATCCATCACTAAGTCTCGAAGAGCCAGCAGCCTGATGGTGATAATAGCCATCATCATCTTCCTCTTCCTCCATCGTAAGATCTTCAACACCACCGCCTCCATTATCTTCTGTCAACTCTATTTTTGGCTGTAATAGACCTCCTGGTTCTGATTTAATCTCTTCTTCAATTGATTCAGTACCACTTTCAGACCCACGTCTATTTGGTCTTCTCCTTTTTCCAGCAGGACTCCTATCTTTGGTTAAAGGCGTAGATAATGCTTTCTTTTTAGTACCACCTCCTTTAATATCACCCCCACCACCCTGATCAGTCAAACCTTTAATCTTTAACGATTCAGCTACTTTTAAAAATGAGTCCAACTGTTCTTGTGAAACATTTACTTCTCCTCTATACATGTATTCTAACATTGCTCTAAGCTGATCATATGATAAATCATTAAAAACTATAATCGGATTTTTTTCATCGTGAACTTCTAACATTTTCTGAAACAAAAAAGTGTGCTTAATTACCTTAAGAGGAAAATTGACAATATTTTTAAAAAAGAAACCAACATTAAAAATGATGTAGAGATGGTTGACAGTGATATAATATGAGAAGGAGTTGATATGGGGGTGCGGTCAAATAAATACTAAATTATAGAAATAGTATTATTTAATTTTTGTGAAGACGTTTCGACCCACTTTGCAGGTCGTACCTTAGTCCTTAGTTTTAAATTAACTAAGGACTCTCCTAACTCTATTTTAGCACATATAAAAAAGTAGGAAGGGTAAAAAAGGAATATGAGCAAAAAGGAAACAAAATTGCTTAGGAAGGTATATCTCAGATCCGGTGTGACCTTTGGAGTGTTAAAGAGATGGAAAAACCAAAAGCAGGGGTCAGAGAAATTTGATTTAGGTTAGATTTTTTCCAATAACAATTTGAACTTTTCCATTCCACAATAGGGACTAGCTCTTGAATCAATTAAAGTTAAAGTGTTCCTTTGCTCAAGAACAAGATCATTTGGCTACAATGTATAATATACATTTAATTTTTTTGTTTTTCCTGGCCAACAAGTAATACTCCTAAATAGAGATTATATTACATCATTATCAATAAAAAACCTGAATTGATTGTAAATATTAAGTTTTATTGAATTAAGAGTCTGGAGCAGTTATTTAAAATAATATATTATTATGAGTAAAATAATAATTAAAAATACTTACATCAAAGTAAGGACTACAGGCAGAAAGAACTACTTTATGGGCCTTTAAACTTTTTCCTCCAGCGAAAAGAGTAACATCTGTTAACTTCTGTGAGTCTAATAAAGTATCAAAAGTAGTCATTAATGTATTTTGATGGTCATTCCATCGTAAACAAAACTGGTCAGACACAGCCATAATAGAAAATCCTAAAACCAAAAAACAAAATTTTAATTTCTAAAGTTTGTGCTATTAAAAAATAAAACTTTTTATTTAAATTAATGCAAAATGTAATACACTAAATTGTAAATAATGAAATGAATTCAAGAAAAAAATTTGGTGCAGGGAACACATCTTAACTATCACTTACCAAAATACCTTAAGTATAAATAAGTATTACCATATTCAGTTATTTATTTTCCAATGTTTGGATTTCATTGATTATTTGAGATTAAAATGTATTAATGTTGGTAAGAATTAGTAATAAATGAATCAAGAAGAAAACAAAACATAAAAACGTGAGTTTCTCAAAACTCTATTTTTGATGTAAAAACAATCTAGAACTGTCGTACTGCCAATAGGTACACTGCTTCTGGAGCGGTCCAGTGATTCTATTGTACGAGCATTATTCCATTTTGACAACTATGCCAAGATCTCAAGATCATCACACAATAAATGGGATTCTGAGAATGACGGAGTGTTGAAATGATATTAACCTCCCTTTATTACCTTGCAATTTATTACTTCTACAAACTCGTTAACTGGTTCTTATCAGTAAAAATAGGAGCCTTAATCAGTTTTAATTACATTGCAACTTTTGAATCCTGCCTGCTAAAAATGGTTGATGACAAAACCACAATAGGTCCTTTTCAGATGAGGTTGAGGCCTTCGCAAATGGTTCAGTCACCTCTGTACACTTTTAGACATACTCTGCTATTCTCAGGATTCCATTTACAGCATACTCATGAGGTCTTGTGGCACCCTGTGAAGTTGAGCAATACTTGTATGGAATGAATCGATATGGAGATGTCATATTTGGTCTAGGTCTAGGTAACCTAGACTATCAACCAATGTCAACAAAATATAATCTGTTTCATTCCCTCAAACTGGTACTGCCCACAAAACCTACCGCTAGCAGTTGAGCACTGTTCGGCAGTATAGGAATGACGTCACAACACTACTGCTCCTTTCTGACTGTTCTTGAAGCAGTGAAGCTGTTGGCAGTACAGTCGTTATGGGTTATGTTATCATATCAGAGATGAGTTTAGAAGTCACCTTGCTATGTTCTATTTCCTTTTTTTTTTTTTTCCATCAACCCAGTAAAAGATCCAGGATTTAATTTTCCTGGGCTTCAGCCCGAAAACTTAAAAAAATATAATATATTGTGATTGTTAAAATATTTAGCATTTATCACACAGAGTAACAAATATGGACCAATGAAAAAAAAAAAATGACTTCAGCCTAAACTATAGCAAATAATTCTTGTAGGCTTGAAGTACCTCAGTTTTTAATTAATTAAAATATACCTATATCCAACTAACATTAAATAATAGGAAAACAAATCTCAAAAAAATCCTTAAATTCAAACATTAAAAAATCAATTAGTAATCTTGATTAAAGTCCTGATTAACTAATTACCAAATAATAAATTATTATACAACCAGTTTTCATTACAAATATAACGTCAGTTTATTGCAAAAAGTCACCAAGTATATGTTTCATGGAGCTAAATTATTATCTTCTTCTCTCACTATCTCCTGTGTGCTAAGTGTGGAGTAGCTGCCTCTGACCATCTTGTCCAACGGTCCCTGTCCTGTGCAAGCCTTCTAATCTCCGGCATGGTGCTTCCTCTCGCTGTTCTAATTCTCTCAATCAAGTCTGCAGACATAAGCCTTGGCCCTTCCTTGAGGTCGCCTTCCTCCCGGTCTTGCTTTTAGAAGCCACCTGGTCTTACGGTCACCTCCCATTCTGTTAACATGCCTGTACCACTTTAACTGCCTTTCTTCAATCGTCTCCAGAACAGATCTAACTCCTAGTTCATCCACCTTTCATTCCTTATTCGATCTAGCCTGGTTTTTCCTAATATTTTTAGGGGTATCTCATTTCCGCAGAGAGAACCTTGCTGGCATGGCGGTACAAGAGGGTCCACCTTTCCAACCTCTATAGTAGCACTGAGTGAAAAACTGAGTTGAATAGCAGAATCTTCGCTTTCCACTGGCCTTTTGGACTCAATTCTATTCATGACCTCCTGGGTCTATTCTTCCATCCCTGCCAATCATTGTTCCCAGATAGCAGTAGGTATCGATTTGCTCAAGAGTCTCTCCATTGCAAGTGATTTTAAGACCCTCATTCCTTCAACCAACACACATAACATTGTTTTGGTGGAATTGATCTGCATGCTTCTGAGTTGCAGTTCTTTTAGCCAATCAATCATAGCAACCTAGAGCGATTCAGCAGTATCCGCAACCAATACCACATCATCTGCGTACAACAATGCCTGTATGATTTTGTGGGATTCTCTTTTCCAATGCATACCTAATTTCCTGTCTAGGAACATAGTCAAAAGGCGCCCATAAATCTAGAAAAGCTAGGTATACTGCTTTACCGTTATTTCATGCCTTCTCTACAATCTTTCTTAGAAAGAAGATATAATCTTATGTCTGCCTTGACCTAAAACCTGCCTGTTCTTCTTCCGCCAATTTCCTTAATCTTTGTTCCAGAACATTAGTATATACTTTGTACACCACCGATGACAGACATATAGGGCGGTAATTATCGCATCCACTTTACCTTCCCTTCTTATGGGTTGGGATAATGATGTTTTTCAATTCTACCCTTTTGGAATAGTGTTTGGAGACACTTGACAAGCTCATTTCCCCCATATTTTATAAATTTGGTTGCAATCCTATCTGGCCCAACTGCTTTTTCCCATCTTTACTTTAACAATGGCTGCTGCAACTTCCTCCTCTTTATGGTGTCATCCATGTCGGGGACTTCTGGTTCAATTATTCTACCTTTTCTACGGCAATTAAGTTATTATCAACATACATAAATACACACAAAAAAACAACACAAACCTTTTATATTTCAAATATAGCTGTACCAAGTGCACAATATTTTGATTTTACAGAGGTAAATTTCAGCAAAGTACTTAGTGATTTAATTTTATGAAATGTTACTTGATGACTAGTTACAATAATCCGATTACATGATATTCATTACTGAAAAGATCTTACTAATAATGTGTTCTAAATTCAAAATCAGAAACTACAATACACTATCTTAAAATAATATTTCTTCATATTCTTTTTATCATGAGACAGACAGATGTTTTCTATACAAAATATTACAAGAGAACATCGTTTTGAGGATGGTTGGCAGGCTGATTAATACTAACATTTCATAGTGCAGACATAACCAACCTCATAATTTATCAACTACAGTGAGCACTTCCAGTAAAATACACAATCATAGACAAGTAAAGGTATTATTCCCTTGGTACTGCCCACGGCAGCGACCACTATTCCATACTGCCAACCACCAATGCTTGTCTATTTCTCTGAAAGTGCTCACAGTCACAGCCAAATCTTCTCAATTTAGCGTCCTAGTTTGATATAATTTTAAATTAAAATGTTAGCCTTAACTTTAATGGATTCTAATTAATATATACCATTTATTCTGGTAGTTTAAGTTGAATAACAAGGTTAGGTCCTGTAATATGAACAGTTAATACTGATCCACATATTAATTTCCACCTTATACAAAATTATTGTTTCTTATAATATTTTTAATATAAAATATAAGCATTCATGGTATTAATAAGATAAGCATTATTTTAAGAACTGAGGATTTATCTCTGATTTTAAATGTATTACTAATTATTACATAATTGATTAGCAATAAATATATATTTGTAATGAAATCACAGCAGACAATATTTTAGTTCTAACAATGAAGGTAATCAATAAATCAGAACTTAAATCAAAAAATACAAATTGATTTTTAATGTCTGGATTTATATATTTACCTGAAGTTAAAATTGTTTAATTATTTAATGTCATTTGGGTTTAGGTATATTTGAATTTCTTTGTAAAATACTTTTGGTGGAATAAATAAATAATCTTGTTACTTCAACCTTTAACAACTTATTTACTACAGCTTTGTTGAAATTTTAAACATTACTTCATTTAATTTTACTAAACTTGAAAGAAAAAAAGAAATAAAATGTATCAAGGTGGATGTTATCATTAAAACAATGTTCTGATATGATAACATAACCTATAAACAGCTGCCAACAGCTTCACTGCTTCAGAAGTGGTCAGAAAGGAGTAGTATAGATATCACGTCATACGTATACTGCCGAACAGTGCCAATGAATTAGGCTCCTTTATATTCCTATGATCAACAGTTAACAGAATCGCAATCACTGCTGTGGGCACTACTATCAAAATAATAGCTTAACCAACCATGTCAAAATACAGACAAGTTTAGCAAACTTTAGCATTCCAGGAATAGTGAGATCATAAGATCTTGAAACACCAATCATCCAAACATGACACTGCTAGGGCATTACCAAATATAAAAAATAAAACAATCAACCTTGATTTCAAGAAATTAAAATAAGAAGTATCAGTGATATAGTAACTCATAATAGATACTTTATTAGTATAGTATAATAGTTAGTATAAAATAGTAACTACGATTAGATACTTTATTCACCATTATTATTTAAACAAACACATCCCTCATAGATCAAATTTAATAAAGAAACCCAAATTTTAAAATTGACAATAAAAATAAGGACTCACTTAGTAATTGCCATTATTGAAACTAGAAATCATCAACTTAATATGTAAACTAAAACACTAATATTAAATATCTTACAATTAATTTATCCAGATATCATAGGTGCTCAGGTCACTAGCCCCACCCAATCCACTAATTCAGAAGGCAGTAGGTAACTTTTTCAGATTCTATTTAATTAGCAGAACAAAATTGATTTTTGGAGGTTCCAATAGACTAAAGAATTAAGAAACCAAACATAATTCCATCAACTTACACATTTTGATAACAATTAAAATTTCCAGCAAATTCTTTTTCTAATGAAAACACAAGTTTTAATTCAATCACAGTAAAATTATTTCCTTTTTTTTTTATGGTTTATTAATATTTAAGATAAATTAAGTTACTAGTTTTGATAAGAATGGATATATTTGTTTTACAAGAAATATCTAAAACGGAGTTTAAACTAATACTATATACAACTTAAATAAAAACTAGGGACATAAACTTTATGTTGCTAAGAATTGTTTAGTGGAATAGATAAATAGCAAATTGGAAACTTGCTAAATAACATTACTTTAGATGAACTCTCTCCTACCTTCCTTCTCTACCTAGTTATCTACATACTTTGAAGAAATTTTATATATATCATAACAATAAGTATTTGATATAATTATACATATGTAAAAGATATATATATATAATAAATAGGAATACAAAAACACTCACGTATAAATTATAACAAACTGAATACAGAAAATAAATTAAATTTAAGAGATGATAATGAACTATGATTCATCCAACATTAGACAAATTCACCATACTGGATATAAAACACCTTCGTAAACAATACAGCTGTAACTATTTTTATTTAAAACTTTTTAACAATAAAATATCAGACTTCACCTCTAAAACGCACGAATCGACACCCAGCTACTTCTAAAGAATGACTGACGCTTTGAAAATGGCGACTGAGGTAAGATCGGTCAAAACAGTTGAAAATCTATAAAAATATTTCAAGACTATCATTTGATTTGAAAAAAAAACTGTATGATTCTGAATTAAATCAGCTGTTTAAGGATAGGATATTAATTTTTACTTGGACCCAAAATGCAGAAATGTGCTTTTTTTTTTTTTAATTTCATCTTCGTATATTTTTTTTCAAATGAAAATATATCTGTTGGAATTTTTCTGTTTAAGCATCTCAATCAAGGAGAAATAAAATCCTAGGTTTTAATTAAACTGGAACAGCCTATTAAAACAATGTATTCTAAAAGGAAATAATTCTTTAATTGTTTTTAAATTCAAACCTATACTTCCAATCAATGTCATATTAGTGAATTAAATAAATAGGTCGTTACAATATTGAAAACTTAAAATTATCAGCTTAAAAATTTGTTAATAGGCTTATCAAAACAAGTAATTCATTGTTAAAACATAGGTCATCTTAATCTAGGGAATGTGCATTTTGATTTAAAGTAGGACTCCACCAGGAGAGAACACGGTGGGGAGAGGTTTCCCTTCTTACGTGTTATTGTTTTTTGACATATTTGGGATAAACCTCTTCTGCTAAAGTCTGCCTTGGGTTCCAAAAAAACAAAAACTTTTCCTGATTTCAACTACAGAGGAAGTTTATTCTGTCATGTCGGCAAATCAGCATTTTTGTTTGAAGTGGAACAATCATCAAGACACTCTTATTTCGTTATTTTCTTCGCTATTAGATTCTAATACCTTCGTCGATTGCACTCTTGCTGCTGGTGGAAAGCAGTTAAAAGTTCATAAAATGATATTGTCAGCCTGTAGCCCTTATTTTAAGGTAGGAGTAAATTTCATAGTGAAAAAATTGCCAATTAACTTTCTATCAGAATAAATGAAACAGTTACCACTTCATGCTAAGATGAATGATTCTACCATAGTATATTGGAAGATTATCAACTCCTACCACAGTAATTAATGTTCAAAAGTTCCTAGTTGCTTTTTTAAATTTGTGATTGTGTATCCATTGTTTAAAACTTAATATTACTTCTTATCACTGGTTATACAATAATGAAATATTATTGATACTGGATTTAAGACTAATTCTCTGCAATTACTTGAAATGAAATACTTTCTAGCTGCATGATAAACAATATTATTTGCTCAAATAAACTAAGTAAATCAGCAATATTGTTTGCTCTGTTGTGACTCAGTTATTTATAAATATAATATATCTGTAATCATGTTTTATTGCAGGAAATTTTGCTTGAACACAGCAATGTTCATCCTATTATTATATTAAATAACATTCAGTTTCCTGAACTCGTAGCAATTGTGGAATTTATGTATAGAGGTGAAGTCAATGTCTCTCAGGATCAACTTTCAGTCTTCCTCAGAGCTGCAAAAGCACTTCAAGTAAATCTTTAACAAAATGATATCCTTTTACCATTATTTTATCTAACATATTTTTAAGAATCACTGATTAAAGATTGCTCTGCTATACCAAGATTGGGAGAAAAAAAAATTTGTCTTTCTGTATTTGTAACGCTTTACCTTTTTTTGCTACTTCAGTCTCTACACGAATATGAGGTTAACTTATGAATTATTTATGTGTGACTTATGATATGAACAGGCTCCCATACTTGTTGCCGAATGATTCTTCTCCTGATCTATATCTATAGTATTTTAGAAAGTAAAATATGTTAAAACAGGATGAAATAATTTTATTACCTCAATTAATGAATAGTAGTAAAAGGCCTAGTGCAGGTTCGATGTCAATACCAGCATGCTATTTTATAAAACTGTTTTTTTCTATTAAGGCATCTTTTACAATCTTCCCTTGTTGCTGTCCATTCTCCTCTTCCAATGATACACTCAGAGGATCCTTCAACATTGTTCCTGACCAGAGATGAACAATCCCCACTTTCTATATCTATAGCATGCTACTCTTCATGTATTTAAAATCTCATTTTAAAGTGTTGTTTAAATCAGAAACTGCTTAATGTGCTAATCAGCACACCTTTCATGATTTTCTGTACATTGAATCTTAATATTTTTCTTGATAGTAAGGAGCTGTGTTATTTAATACTTCCTTAGTTTTGAGTATCCATCGTTATGCCTTTCACACTGATGCAGTTTAAATCTGCAGGCATTAATGTGGTACTGGACATTCTTGTTCGAATCCTACCTGGGCAGGTTAAAATATATTTCGTGACAGAACCACGGAATGAATCTCGACCTACCTACTCTGGTTAGAATAGGTTTGGTTGTACCTCAAGAATAAGGTGACCAGACATCCCACTTTTGGCAGGATTGACCCGATTTTCGGCAAGATGGCAAGAGAACACACGGTTTTCAGCAGCCATGTGGCTATTTCGCCTGGATATGTGTTTTATAATATTTTTGTTAAGTTTTATACATTATTCATTATACATCAAGAATAACTAATAATTATTGAGAACTGATTATCAAAGTTTGCATTGTTAATCTGTTGTTAGAATTCTACCACCATTGTTTGAACTTAATAAACAATCCGAAATTGATATTTTTAATTAGATATTATTAAAAATATTTATTGATAAGAAAAAGGATAAATCTTGTGTACCAGCTATTTAACTTTATTTGCTACTTCGATTACTGAAATTTAGTCACCTTACATAAGTTTCATAATATTTTGAAAAATAGCTGCTTGATAATGTACAAATTGGTGTCACGAAATATCTAATTGTTAAAAACTGTGTTATTGAAGTCATAAATTAGATATCAAATACATCATATAAATTATTCGCTCTCTAAAATACACCTTTAGATCTAAATTATCAGCTTTATTTCAGCTGAATACTATGTTACCTAAATATATTAGATTATCATTATTTAAAATTAATTATTCTAACAGCGAATTAGGACCAGATTTTTAATCAAAATATGGATGGGAAAAATGACTGTTAATCCCTCTGGTGTTTATTCCTATTTCCATAAATCCAATAAGAGATTGTGGATTCAGTCCCACCATACTTAAATTGCTCAGCTGGTAATCCGTCACGTCCTGGGACCTTATAGTTCTTCAACCTCTCATTTGCTTTCCGCTTTACCAATGTTAAAATCTAATCACCTTACTCTAGAACAACCCCTCTCTCCATATGCCATAAATGGTGTGGAAGGAGGTAATAGAAAATAAAAATTGGTCCTGGAGATGTGAGATATGACTAATATGATTAAATTTCAACCGCTTAAGTGGTGGATGCATCTTATACCTCCTAGAGCCAGATCATTAACAAAAGGTTCTATAACATTTCATTCTTATATGGTTGAACTCCGATTTAACTGTCAACATATTTTGATCATTTTATTTATTTATTTATAGTTAATCTAGTTATTTCAAAAATACCTAGATTGATGCATTAATTTTCTATAACAGTAATTATTGTAGTGTTATGTCTAAACTACTAAAAAAATCATGTAACATGTTTACAAGAAAACTTTATTCATAGAGTGAACAGTGACAAAAAAAAAAAATATTACATAAAATAATTTTTTTTTAATTTTAACAATACATCAGTACATAGAATTATGAAAGTGAGAATAAAACACTGTGTGTGTCAATATCTATGCACACATAAAATTGATCTATGTACTATACACATTATATAAATTGATGTATACGTATCGAATAATCAATAATTAGCCATTGTATAGTGAGGAAAGAGATGGTCTGGAGTGGCGATCATAAAGAAAAAACTAAAAATAGTGAAAATATTTTATTAAGCCTATATTTCGACTAATTATCCTGGTTTTCATCAGGGCCATGGTCGGGAAAGGCTTCCGTGTGGAGTTAGCCAATACTTCCCATGCCGAACTCCCAGCAGTTTTCCATGGAAGCCTTTCCTTACCATAGTCCTGATGAAGATCTGCATAGTTAGTTGAAACATAGGCTTAACAAAATAGTTTCCTCATCATAAATTAATTTTTCCTGCTTGCTTAAAACCTTCAAATAGATATCAGTTATGTTGTTTGTTGCTGGTTTAATTACTATAAAATGTTAAAACAGATGTTTTTTATTTTTTAAATCCAAGTTTTAATATTATATATCAAATATACATTTTCTATTTTAATAGGTTATTGAAATGTTTTTCTTGATATCCATATCAATTTCTTTAAGTTAAAATTTCTATACATTAATGATATCTCAATATTGTATACCATTATTGAAAATGTGCTCCTTGTAGTTAATTGCCATATTGAAGGTCATCATAAACTAGTATATAAGTAATTACAAATACAAAAATGACAGTCAAAATGTTTTATATTGTAATTAAGATCTTACTTTTAATGGTATTGAGATATGATTAAAATATCCAAATTCTCCTCATTCAAAGATCAAAATTAGTTGAAATTCAAAACTATACTATCTATAAAAAAAAAATAATGATTATGGCATATCTTTTGCAGAATCTACTCATTGGCAGCATTTTAAAATTTAAATATAAGATACCATTAATGAATTTTATGCCAACAAAAAAATGTTATTCATATCTTCTTATTTTCTGAAGGTAAAAGGGCTCACAAATGAAACAGAAAGACTGGAAGAAGTCGTAAAAGAATCTCAAAGTGATTATAGTGGATACCAAAGCTCAGGGGATGATCCCCAAGTCAAAGCGGAAAAGGATGATGATTCTCTGTCTCTACCTGGCCCTTCTACTGCTTCTAATGCCTCTGGTACTTAGCCAAAGAGCTTGTAAACCGTTGTTGTAAAATGATATATTGGTGTTGGCTCTGACCTACTGTAAATCACTCTTAATAAAATATGATCTGTATTGAATTTCATTGGATTTAAATTCTTCCCAAGTACAATATATATTTCTTTTCCCCAAATTTAAATATTTGATGAAAATAGGAATTTACTGTTGAATTTTCTTTTACAGGATTTATGACAGATCAGAATCCAAATCTCCATGAAAATAATGAATTTCAAAGTTCCAGTTTCTTAGGTAAGAAGAACTTAAAGCTATTGGAGAGTATAATATTAACTTATTTATTAAATGATCAATTTGTATACATTTAGGTTTATTACCTCAAAGGTATGAAGAATCAATGTGTCTGATTCCAGGACAAGGTAAGACAAAACTTATTTTTGAGTCCTCTACTTTTCTTTCATTCTTGCCTCATTTTAATACACTCAAATTCATTACCAAAAAACTTATGATAAATTGGTTGTCATCATAGAGTAGGAGAGAAAAAAGTAAAAGAGGAGGAAAGTGACTTATCTATTTCATATACAACTTGAAGCTTTATAAAGTATATATTATTTAACCTAACTTAAACTTTACGAAAGGTTACCTGATTAAATACCTGAAAACTTGAGAAGCCAATTCTGCATCTCAATAGTGAAAAAAAAAAGGTTCTAATTAGCCATCATCGTATTTTTAATTCTTTTGTGTTAAATTAAACTTTAATGTTGTTTTTTTTACATTTAATTTCTTTCTTTTTCATAATAATCTTTCATGAAATCTGAAGATACCATTTAAAATATGGTTAATAGAGATAATTTTGTCATATTTAAGGTGTAGAATTACCCCTGAAATTTTTTAATTTTTAGCATGTTCATGGTTTATAATGTATTTAACTTTATATAACTATGATTAATAATTATTGAAGGAAGTTACTCAACTGTCCTACATAAAGGTGATAAAGAATCAGCATGCAGTCACTTTTAAGGTTTTTTATTGGTGCCAACGTTTCAATCCAAGCATATGGATCATCATCAGGGCTGAAAATTGTTTAATACAATCAGAGATATAATATTACATGACAGATAATTATTAATAATTAAAAATATTGATGGATGATACATAAATGAAATAAGTAATAAGCTATACAAACTAACAAATAATATATATATATATATATATATATATATATATATATATATATATATATATATATATATATAATCAATTTAATATTTACTCTTACTATCTGTGCCCTGAAATTGTTCAAGTACTGGCACTTAGATAGGTAAAGAAGAAGGCCGAAGGAGGATTTCCCAAATATGTTTTAAGATAGCAAAGGTAGGTAAACAAAGTCAGAGGAGGGTAACATTGTTTTTGTTTGTGGGATACAAATCACCTGATAAATAAAATATTCGAGGAAATATGCGTACAATCGCTTTGTTATTTCAGAAATAACTAATACTTTCATAAAAAAATAAATAAGAGATGACAGTCAATACAAACTTAAAACACTTTGAGGGAAGGTACACAATAGTTGGACAATTAATGCTTGCAACACAGTCAATTGTAATGACAAGTAGCATAATGTATTATACATAATTTTTTATTGTATCTTTTAGAATAAAATAAAATTAGAAGTATCAGTTTTGTTGGTAGATTGGGAAAATCAACTTTATTTTATGATCCTGTTCCGCTCCTACAACAATCAAATATAGTATACCACATCGCATTCTCTCGCCCAAACTGCAAGTCATCCTATGTAAGGTGACACAACAAATTATTTCAAAATATACAATAGAGTATATTCGTACAACTGCTATGGAGGTGATGCTCGGCATTCCCCCACTGCAGCTGGAGATGGAGGCTCGGGCAACAATTACACTGTACAGGATAAGCAAGTCAACTTACTGTTCAACAGTCCCCTGTCAGGGAGGACACACAACACTGCTGAACAGGATCGGAAGTGAAAGAGTGCTAGCTATGCACTCTGTCACTCTAATCCGAGAATATCAGGACCGAAAATATAAGGTTGAGATAGATAGCAGCAGAAGTCATAAACCAAATAGTGGAATAAATTGCTACACAGATGGCTCTCTAACAGCCTTCGGCTCTGGAGCAGGCATCTATCGCAAAGATATAAAAGAAAAAATTTCTATACCACTTGGCAGATATGCTTCAGTGTTTCAATCCGAGATACTGGCAATCTGCCACTGTGTACAAAACCTACTGCAAACCAATGTGACTGAGAAAAAGATCACCATCTTTACTGACAGTCAGGCAGCAATAGGTGCTCTTGACAATTATTATGCTTATTCAAAGGTCGTTAAGGAATGCAATAGAGCACTTAACGAGCTAACTGAGCACAACAGAGTTGCAGTGGAGTGGGTGCCAGGCCATTCTGGCATACCGGGCAACGAGATGACTGATGAGCAAGCCAGGTTGGGCTCAGATACTATTCCTATAACTCCCGAGCCTGTCTGTGGAATCAGCCTTAGTACTGCCAAGGGCAGGATCAGGGAGATCTATGGGAACAAATTTAGGAATTACTGGACCGACAAGAAACAGAGACACTCGAAGCTGTTCCTTAAAGGCCCATGTAAAAAAAGAAGTGAACAGCTACTGAACATGGACAGAGCAGCTCTTAAAAAACTCACAGCGATCTACACAGGTCACTGTAAGTTAAATAATCATATGTTCAATCTGCGAGTAATGACGAATCCGCTATGCAGATTCTGTCAGGAGGAGAATGAAACAGCTTTTCACATCATATGCAGATGTGACAAGTTTACAAGGCTGAGACTGGCGTTATTTGGGGAGGAACAGATGGATCTCCCCAGTAGATTTGAGTCGGTTAACCCAACCAGCCTACTTAGATACGCGGAAGCAACAGGACTAACGTTTTGAATAAGACGACCTAGCGAATATTGGCGCACAATGGACCCAAAGGGGTCGACGTGCTTAAAGCCAACATTAAAAAAAAAAAAAAATATTCGTACAAACACAAATACAGTATCTCCACACGTAGCCCCTTTGCCTCGAAACTAGCCAAATACGCCATAACCCTTAAATACACATTTGATTTTGATAACCTTTCCAAATTCTTTTAATAACCATTTATCACATATATTGAAGGAAGTTAGTCGACTGTTCTACATATCATGGGTGATAGATATTCAGGACACAGTCTTTTTTTAAAAAAAAATTTTCATTTTTTATAATTCCAACTTTTCAACCCAAACATGTGTGTCATCTTCAGGTTTGAGCACTGAGGGTGTTCGAGAACTTGAACACCCTCAGTGCTCAAACCACGTCCTGAAGATGACCCACATGTTTGAGTTGAAATCTTAATGTATATATATATATATATATATATATATATATATATATATATATATATATATATATATATATATATATATATATGTATATAAACAGAGAAAACTAAAATAACAGAAATGTTTTCTGGGGGTACTTAGATAGCTCTCTTAGGTATATTTCGTAATCAGGCAGATTAAGAAAGGAGTAGGTGTTTCAAAAGAAGAGGTTTGAAAGAGGAAACTGATTGTTCGTGTCAAATATTAGCAGGAATGGAATTCCAGAAAAAGTCGGCTTGAATTGCAAATGATTTGTCAAATTCAGCAGTTTGGTGAGGAGGGGGATAGAGGTCAGAAGTATGAAATCTAGTGGAATGGGATTGGATGGAGTATTTAAATTGTAAGCTGTGAAAAATATAGGAGGGTTAATGAGTCCTAATGATCTGGTGCAGGAAGGTAGCCAGAAAGTATTGATGGCGACAGGATGGATAGAGCCACTTCAACTCGGTGTAATACTGCGTAGTATGCATATCTCTTGAGATTCCGAAAGCAAAACGTAATGCGCAATTCATTAAGTGTTTAAGTTTGGCCTCAAAATCCCCCGAGCGTCCACTGTACACTTTACAGCCATAGTCGAAGTGGGAAAAAACAAGAGAGAAAACTAGGAGTTGACAGGACTTATATGGAAGGAGATAACGTAGGCGATTGAATTGTTTTAGGGTGGAGATAGTGTGTTGGGAAATTTTGAAGATGTGTGGTTTCCAGGAGAGGGTTTGATCAAAAGTGATATTATTGGAAAACAAAGGTAATACATGTCAATTCAAAAGAATATTTATTGATATCTGTTTTTAAAACCATTCTAAATTTATTATAATTGATAATAATGCCTAGTAATTATGTTTTAATGATATTCAATTAGCCATTTAAAATAAATAAACAATAATAAAAAGATTATAGACACCGCAAAGAGAGGAAATGAAGATAACTTCATTATTTGCCAGTTGACAACAAAATGGATGTTTTAACTGATTATCTGCAATCATCCAGCACAATACTAAAGGAATATTAATGTACATAGTTGTCTGCTCTATTGTAGAATATATAAAAAGATAATGGAGGTGAGAAAATATTAAAATAGTTATCAACAGGAGGAGATTGTATATTTTATAAAAAAAATCACTGAGTAAAGTAGAACCAGCACAGAATCTCCGCTATTGTCATGATAGACTAAAAACTAAGTTATTTTATGAGAACTTCCATGTTCTCATTTATATTACTCTCACATCTTATGGTTTTTAGTCTTGATGAAGGTCGCTACATAGGTGAAAACTACTAAAACTTTTAGTAGTTTTTTATTTATAACTGCATCTCCAATCATCATCTTGTTTCCATCAATGGTCAACTATATCTCAATTATAATTTATTAAATCTTTCTAATAAAATATTGTTTATTTTTTTGTTTAAATCTCTGTGATCATACAAAAGGAACAAATCTTATTTAGGTTTAGTATGTTTCAAAAAATACAATGTAATTAAGTTTTTTCTTCTTTTGATTTCCTCGTGAATTGTCTTCTTCTGCACAATGTACAATAACATTTTGGATTAAACAATTTATTGGCCTAATAAGTCCTATAATTCCTAATCAGGGAACTAAATTTACATATTTAATGTATATGGATGGGTGGTTGCAGTAAGTATTTCATTAAGTTGGCTTACCAAAAGTATTTCATTGATTATATTTTTACTATTTTCTTGATAAAGAGTAACGATTTACATTAAACTTATTAAATCACATTTAATTTAAAATTAGTGAGATAATAATCTCATTGAAATTGAGATGCGACAGGCCTTAACCCTTATAAAAGAGATATTACCCAGATCAAAACATAGAGTATGATAGCTGATTGAAGTTTAAGTGGGTCCCACCCTCCGTTCAAGTCTTATATCTCCGCTCAGGTCAAATACCTAAAATATTAGTTATTCGCAAATAAAGTTTCTTTTTTTTCATAACTTCTTTGCCTGAATTTTTGGGGTGATAGGACTATTTTGCTCGCCTGAAGGAGAAGGAAGCTTTCAAAATTAGTAACTCAATCTTATGATTTGGTGAAGAATTATTGATCAAAGAAACAACAGCATCTCTCTTCTCAATTATAAGTTTGAAAGAGTGACCAGTTTCAGTTCCGTAGGCTCCTCAATAAATATAGAAAACAAGATCAGCCGTAAAATACAAAATAGAATAATGGCTGGAAACAGGACCCATTATGCGAACCTGAAACTCCTCAGATCAAAGATTCTTTCTAGGAAAACCAAACTAAAGCTGTATAATGTTCTGATCAAGCCGGCTGTCACCTACGGGTCTGAAACTTGGTGCCTACCATCGAGAGACTGTCAAAAACAGAGTTTTTGAGCGGCGAATTATAAGAAGGATATGTGGGACTGTACAGATTGATGGAAAGTGGAGGATCAATAGCAATGCAGAAATTGCAGCCATTCTGAATAACCAAGATATAGTTAATTATATAAAAGCAGATAGGCTGTGATAGGTAGGTCATGTTGCCAGAATGAACGAAGAGGGGATTCAGAAGAAGATGCTAGACATGGCCATCATTGAAAAAAAGAGGAAGACCGAGGAGCTACTGGAGGGATGCTGTAAAGTTAGGTGTCTTGAATTAGAGGAGCGCTGCCAAGGACCAAGTGACGGATGGACGGATATAGTCCGGAAGGCCTAGGGTCACAAAGACCTGTAGAGCTGGGGAGTAAGTAAGTAACTAAAATATTACACACTTTTCCCTTGGTTATGCCCATATTATATAAAAGATTACTAAATTCCCTACAAAAAGTACATACCCTACAAACAAGTAATCATTGAAATCGGACAATTTTTAGCAAAGGTATAGCTTATTGAAATTTATAAAAATTGTTGGTTTCAAACATTAATGAAGTTTTAAATTAATTTTTGTTTCCTTTGTCGATTATATTTATGGATAAAGTAACAATTGATTTCTTTATCTTATGATGAGTTGTATTATTTTATTTTATTATTAATTTGGCATTTGATCACTGAACAATATGCTGTGCGAAGTTTTCGCACGGGCCTACTAGTATTTAATTATTAACAAGCGCTATTAGACCAGAAATTTAATCAGGTTAGTAAGTGAAAGTTGTATGATGCAAACTGCACTAGATTTTTTAAATATTTTTTTAGCACAGTGACCACTTGTCCGCTCCAGCCTGCCTTGGCCCGACTGAAAAATGTATATATGACTGAATGGATAGGTATTGGGCTTGAAAAGTGCGAAGTGGCCTAGTGTGCAGACTTACTAGCTATTCATTCATAGTTACTTTTAGTTGGGCTAAGGCAGGCTGGAGTGGACAAGTGGGTGCTGTGCTTTAATTTCTGCTTTTAGAACAAAATAGTCATTCAGACATTGAATAATTTTAAATTTCTTTATTTTGTGAAGTTGTGCAACTGTCCTAGGTATGAGTCCATTGAACAAATTGATGCAGTTACGAAGACCAAATGCCACTGAAAGAGATGCCTCCTTTAAGTGTGAAGAATGTAATAAATTCTATCGTTCCAAGACTTCTTTGAACCTCCATAAGAGATGGGAGTGTGGTAAAGAACCAAAGTTTGCATGCCCCTACTGTGACAAGAAGACACATCAAAAGGGCAACCTTAAAGTTCACATTATTTCTCGACACAGAGATAGGCTGCAAACAGAAAAACAAACTTAACATATGGCCCAAATCCAATTGAAAGAATGAATGATTATGTAAAATTAATTACAATTTATAATCTTATATAACCTTAGACATTAATAATTTTAAACAATTATGGTCTTACAACATGATTCTGTTTATACAAAACAACATAACAGAACATTAAAAAACTAGGTAAAAAATTAGTTAAGAACATATTTCTTTATTATTATATCAATTCAATGGTTTTATATTGATACATGAAAACTGTTAGCAAGGGTTCCATTGTTAATAACATTTTATTTTATAATTTTAACTATAATCAATATTGTTCCTAAGAGACATCTAACACAAGAACCTTAAGGGCTGTATGAAAGAACAAAAAACAGCCGTCTAATTTATTTTCAGCAAAACACTATTAAATTTGTGATTATTTTTCATCTTAAAGATTCTTATCTCACTGACTTTTATGCTATTTTAATGTTTATTTGGAAACATTACTTATATTTTAATCTCGTTGTTAATGATTTTCATATTTTAGCTTAATTTTCTTCATATCAATTCATTTTTGAAGAATATATTTGTTTCTTTAAATTATTATTGGTGATATAGTTATTGTATGGGTTGCTTAATATTTTATCTTTCCTAATGGATTTCTTTTTCCTATGTTTGCTTTGTCCAATGATTGCAAAGGCATGTTATATATTAGGATATTTAGAAAATCGAAACAATAACTCTTTGAATAATTTAAAGAAAGTGCATAAATCCATCTATTATCATTATTTAAGTTCAGTTTTTTGCCCATGGAAAGTTGAAACATCATTTATTTGTTTTTTTGTTTTTATTCCTACTAATATTGCAATTTATACTTTAGTTTTTGGGTCTTGGTATTATCTTTCTGGATTTGGAGAACTTGAGATTATTTGTTAATTTGCTAACTAATTATATATATATTCCTTACAGTTCCAATCATACTATTTCCTCAATTTATTTGTTTTATTTTTTACTGTAAGATTATTAGGATCTTGGCTTGGTTGCTTTCCTGAGAGTTGAAAAAATGTATGAACTATATCCAGATTAAGTTATTTTTTATTTGATTTTATTATTCATTTTTTTTTTTATATATATATGTAATAAAATGCGTATTGGAGGGATTTATCGATAAATCTCTCTTGCTCTCTTCAGTAGGCTTAAAACTCCGAAGTTTATTCAGAATAAGCATAGATTTGTTTTTAAAACTAAAATAATTTGAATATTCACAAATATTTCTTTACTTTTAAATAATTATCAGCATATTTTTATCTTTAAATTTATAAAATCCTTCTAATTTAATAGACTTGATGTCTGTTTGGTCAAATTTCTTGGATTGCCTATCTATATGTTAAACTATTTCTTGTAAATTATGAAACTAACTACTTCCCTGTATTCTTATTATTTACTATCTTTACCCGCCCACGCGCTGCTGTGGCTTAGCCTGGCAAAATGAAAAAGAAAGAAAATAGAAAGCACATATGAGTAGATTAATAGCAAAGGAAATCTGTCATTTTTAAAAAGTTGAGAAACAAATTTGTCTGTAAAATGGCTTCAATTTAAACTAATTCTAATGATTTTTTTCTCATGATTCAAATTGAACATTCATAATCATCAGAAACAGTCTGAGTTGAACTTATAAAACTACAATAAAACATTCATATAAAGAACGTATAATAGCATACACCTACATAAGGAGAATCATATAACTTCTTCAAATGATAATTTCAATTACTGTAGTAATTATAAAATTTTCGATTAATCAATAAAAAAAAAAAAAAATCCTTGCCTACCTTCGTTAGTGAGGAAGCAAAAGGAAATAGCCTTTTCTGAAGAGAAAGCAGTAAATCTTTAAAACTCTATAACTCTGCAACGAACCATCCGATTTCGATGGTTTTTTTTTATTTTAATAATCATTATTTATTGGAATTTATAACATCGCTTAAGCTGTGATAATTCATTTACTAAATAAGTCAATTTTATTTTACTGAAGAAAGAAAAAATATTATTTTATATGATAAACATTTTATATGTTACCCAAGTACCGGATCCAGCTTGAGGGATTATGTTGGAATCAAAGAAGTTTTTGTTTTCCCAATTTGCTACAGAATGTATTGATGTAATCTCTGTAACATTTTTATAAAAGCCTGGGGCTACAAAATATTACAATATGGAGGTTTTAACTTTGTATTTATGCAACTTAGAGATATGTAAATAATAATAACAATTATAAATTTAACAAAATTAAAAGTAAAGCCTGAACGGAACAATTTTATTTACATTGAAAATGTTCAGATTAAGATTATTATTCTGAGGTTTTAAAATACTACAGATTCACGTGTCTTATACTTTCATAAATATAATCATGAAAATAAAAATGGTTAATTCTGAGATTTCTGGGCCAGTTGAAACATAATCCTCAAATAACTGTTGACTTGTACTTGACATATGTTGATGCCTTGTGGTAAATAGTAACTTTTATTAAGTTACAGATGTACTGTGTGCTTTCATTAGCTGTTTATTCAGCTCAATGTATAAATTAGGGCATTTCTTCATTTTGAGCATTCTCAGGTTTGTTGCTAAGCACTTGCTTAAATGCTTGAGATAAATAATAAATAATTAAGAAGTTATCTCAATTATGTTCAGTTAACAAATATTTTATAAAATACATGTAAGACAAAATGTCTTATGAGGATGTTACGTTTCAAGTGGTTAACTTTTGTTATTATTTATTAAATTAAGTTTTTTATTTAAGTATCCTTCTAAAGATTATTAAGGCTTTAAGTCAACAATTTTTCTTATTAATCAACTGGAAATAATGATCAAGATGTTAAATTAATCTATGAGATAAAGACATACATGCTTCTTTTTCATAATTTTTAGAATAACATAAAGGTTTAACTTATCAAACTGATCAGTTAATATTTAGCATAGAGGTATCATAACATGCTTTAAGGTCTTAGCCTAGTGATAAAATAACATAAGTATTCTCATGAAAGTTGTGGTTAATTTTTATCCCACATATTAATAGGTTTCTCAAACATTGTTTTGTAGAATATATAATTTTTTCTGACTTAAGAAATGACTCTAGAATATTTGTATTTATTATTTTCCACTTACGATGTATCACAGCTTAAGAGAAGATAGTTATCAAGCAAAGCCATGAGATTGAATTGTTTTCATTGGGAACTCACTCGATACCTCATCAATTGTACTGTAAACCAGTTTACAGGATCATTTGGAATGGAATTTATCTATTTTTTCTTCCGTAGAAATTCTTTTTCCTGGCATAAAATTTGTTGTTTATATATTTGCATTCACCATCTTTCAAATTACAGACTTCTGAACAGATATAATTTATTTTCTATTCTATCAGTTGTCTATCCTTGATGGGCGTCATGAGACCATTGGAGGATATATCAAACTTGAAACAGTGATGGCAAATTATGAAATAAATATACTCACTGATTGTAGGAAAAAAATATATTGAAAATAAAAAAAAAAAAAAACATTATGTTACTATACTTACTGTTTTTTAAAATTATTTAATTTATTTATATCTGTGATTTATTTGTTGTTGGGTTGCTGCATTTAATAAATTTCAGTTGAAGATAAGCTTAGCTTCCTAGTTTCTTGGTGGTTCCTTTTATAGGTGTTATTATTTATTTAAGATCTGAGAATAACGTCTAAACTATATTTATAAAATTTAAAAAAAAAAGTCATTTTCCAAGATGCTAAAAGTTTCCATTCATTGGCGTCAAAAACTCCTGATTCTGCAAAAAAAATAGTTGCTCTTTGCATAATTCTCTCCACCATATTTATTTTCACTTATCTACATATATATACAGGGTGTTTCAGGATTAAGTGGCCAAACTGCAAAAATGAACTAAGGACCTCATAACAAGAAAAAATTTCCTCTGAAGTATATCTGCAAACGCTTTGTTTAGGAGATATTCACACCTAAAGATTTCCGTTGTTATGAATTATTTATGTTACATGAAATAAATAAAACCTATTTATTTGTTCTAACTACTTTATTAATTAAATTAAAACATTAACATTCATAGTAAATGTTGTTCAAAGTGATTTCCTTGAGCATTAAGACAGGCTCGTCATCTTTCTTCAACAGCAGCAGTGGCAGAATGACACTGGATATGTGTTATTGTTTCACAAGATTCAATTATCCTTCTTCGTAAGGAATTAAGGTCATTGACCGGACTTGCTCAATCATATCCCATATCCCAATCTATGGATTGGCCGTGCAGGATTAGTGGCTTATTCTGATCGCTCTCCAGACCTGACACCACTGTATTTTTTTGTTTAGGATGATATTAAACAAAATGTCTAAGCAAGTCTGGTATTAAAGGTTACATTTAATTAATAAAGTAGTTAAAACAAAGAAATAGATTTAATTTAAATCAGATAACATAAGCTTTCGGGCTAAAAGCTCCTCCTCCCCTCCCCCAAAATGGTAAAATATAACCATGTTTTATGGAAAAATATATTAAAAAATTATCTCTAAAAGTATTATTGTTCGTGTAATTACATTTAAAAGGACTTAAGGAATCACTTAAACACCATTTCATATAGATGGTTAGTTTCTTTCTTTTTTTCTAAAGTAATTATCATCATTTTTATGAAGAAAAAAGCTTTCTGGCTGAAGCCCCCCCCCCCAAAATTAAATCCTGGATCCGCTAGTGATACACATATTGTAGATGTAATGTATATTTAAATTAGCATTATTTTCAATTGACAATAAGCCAAGGGACCAGTCCGTTATGTTAATTGTTTTTTATCTTCAAAATAACACTACATTATTGTTTATATTTCACTAATTTGTTGTCCACTTCAGTCTTTACTCTTCATTGTTAGCAACAAGATCTATTGCGTAAACTTTATAGAGATGAGTGTATCTGTGTAAATCATTCTAATGTAGGAATTCTTCATTTTTTTTCTTGATTTAATTCAATTTTGTTATTTTATTTAAATAATTAATGAAATTTAATTTAACATTCCATCTTTCCTAATTTATTTTTATTTTTTCTATTTAATGTTAATTTTATTTCATGAAATGGAAAAATATCATATTTTTGATTGACATAACATTTTAATTTTGTATCAACAAGGACTTATAATCTGAAATTATTTTTTTTTTTAAATCAAGGTTTCTAAATCTGGAATTCATTATATCA